CCACAGAGAAAGCAGCTGGGTGCTGCTTTTCACTCACATGAGAGCTGTCCATGTATAGTGATGATTTTCGCTGCCCAGATCAGGGCAGGTACAGAGACAGTGAGTCATAGACGGCCTTGCTCATCAGTTCCCAGGGAAAGTTAGAGCCTTTGATTCCTGCTTCTTCCCTTGGGCTGATAGTTCCCTAAAACTGTTATTAATTCCATTTCTTCTTTTTTTTTTCTTTTTTTGAGACAGGGTCTTAAGTACCCCATGCTGGCCTCAAACACGCTGTGAAGTGGAGAAAGACCTTAAATTTCTGCTCCCCCTGCCTCCACCTCACAAGAGCTAGAATTACAGGGATGCACCACCGTGCCTGGTTTATTCTGTGCTGGGAACTGAACACAGGACTTCATGTGCTCCCATCTCTGCCGCAAGCACTCTATCAACATAGCTACAGCCCTAGCCCTCAATTATATTCCTTGAGGATCCAGTGCTGCCCATACCAGCCACTACCATGCTGCTCACAGTCAACACGGTGATTGGGAGCGAAGAATATAAAGCAAGGAAAAAGAGAAGACACAGGAGAGAAGGAGCACACCTCACTTAAATCACATGTATTCTATGGTATAGCTGTCATTATGCTAAAAGCTCAAGTTCATTCACATCTTTCAGCAAAACGACCAGCTATGGCTAACCGGGGAGGGCTGAGTGTGGTCATTAGCATGGGCAGCTATCAATTTTAGTAAATCAGTCACTTCTTTAGCATGCTCGGTGTCACTCAGTGAGCCTGATTGTATGGCCTGACCATAAAGAGGCCACAGAAGCAATATCCTAAGTGGCACTGGGTGAGACTCATCACTGGGAACTTTGCTAAAGGTGTCTGTCAAGGCTCCAATACCCCCTGGGCAAGTCTTCCTAATCCTAACAGCTCAGCAACAGAAATAAATAAACCTTAAATACCAGCTGACTCAGTACAAAGTGAGGCATTTGATGTCATGTATAAACCAAAGTCCATGGGGTGGGGAGGCAGTTAGCATTGTTGCTGCTTACCAGGGGTGGACAAAAGACTGTAAACGCTCTGGAGACAAGCATGTCACATTTGAGGAATAAAATAGAAGTCTGTGTATGAGGACCCAGAACCGTGTCACAATACTTAATGAAGGACTCTATGAGACAAATTCTTGCTTGCTTAACATCACAGTAGAAATCAATCCAGCGCCCTCATCCTTGACTCACTCATGTATCTAACTGACAGAGCACAGTCTGCGAAGCTGCTGAGTGAGGCAGAGATGGGAGCAGTCTAGAGAACTGTGCCCACACATCCCCTCATGGGTGAGGTGAGACACAGTAAAGACCTCCCTTCCCATCTGCTCCTGGGATAACAGCAATCCGGGGATCTGACCAGCTTGCATGCTCAGTTATGGGTGCAGGAAAGAGGGCTGCATAGACTGACTCGTGGAAAGGAGGGAGGCAGTAAGTAAAATAATTTCAGGAGTCTTCCTCTACTCTGGAAATTGTTTTAAGGAAAGCTAAGGGTATTAGTTACTTTTGCTGTGATCAAATACCTGATGAGATGCAACTTAAAGAAAGAAGAAGTTATTTTGGCTAATAGCTTAAGGGGTGTCAGTCCATGGTGTCAGGGAAGGCATGGCAGCAGAAGCAATAGGTACCTGGCCACACTGTGTCCTTAATCAGGAAGGAGACAGCCGACAGGAAGTAGGAACCAGGCTACAAAGCCCCAAAATCTACAATCTCCAGTAACCCACTTCCCTTAGGGAGGCTCTACTTCCCAAACAACAACCAAAACACCACCATCTGCTGAGGACCAAGTATCCAAACACAGGAGCCTAGAGGGAACATTCTACAAGCTGTGGTTACAGCACTAGTGAGGAGAGCACAAGACTAACACTGTGGTCAGACACACCCCCACACCCAGAGGAGCATTAGGCAGGCCTCTGCTAGACTCAGCAAAAGTTATCTTTTCTTTGGCCAAGATGGGGTTGGGCTCAGCCTTGAACTGTCTTAAGAGAGCTCTGATGCTACTCAGGACCACAGGCCAGTGCCTTCCTTATCACTTAGCTCATGACCTCTCTCTAAGGCAAGGCTTCTCCGTGGAAACAGAGCCATTAAGTGCTTCCTGATCCAAACTGGCCAGCAGTTCAGATCCCTAACAGCTCGCTGTCCAACTTCTTTTGGGTGTACTCAGATTCCATGCACCCCTTGGGCGTGTGGGCATCTCTGCTTTCAGCTGTTTTGATCCCCCTGGTTCCTGGCTCGGCCAATACCCTTTGTGCTACTGCTTGCCCTAGCATGCAACGAAGCCTGGGTTCCAACCACGGCGCCACATAAACTGGGTGTGGTGGTACATTCCTGTGATTTGCACTTGGAGGTAGAGGCAGGAGAATCAGCATAGCAAGTCCAAAGCCAGCCTCAGTTACATGAGACTCCATCTCAAAAAAAAAAAAAAAATTGCCCAAGGCAGGGGTAACTGAAAAGGCTAGGGAGGTACTGGCAGACTCAGTTGCAGAACTTGAGAAAAAAAAAAAAAAAAAAAAAAAAGGGACATTTTATAATAAAGGATTCTGTGATGAAATCACACAAGTAGGGGGTATTTCTTTACCTCTACCTAAACTATTAAGTTGTAAGTATAATTCCTCCCTATAAGCTCAGAGCAAGCAGTATTTTCATTGTATTTTAGTTACGCGTGTGTGCACCAGTGCACGTGCCACAGTGTGTATGTGGAGGTCAGAAGACAGCTTTCGAGTCCGTTCTTTGCTTCTGCCATGTTGAGGCAGGATCTCTCTTGATATTTCTGCTGTTGCACTGAATAATCTTAGCTACTTGGCCCCTAAACTTCCTGGTGATTCTTCTCTCTCCACTTCCAGTCTCACCTGAGGAGTGCTGGGACTATAGGTGCACACCATTGCCTCTGGTTTTCTACACGGGTTCCAGGGCTCTTACTTGGGTCATCAGGCTTATGTAGTCAGTGCTTATACCTGCCAAGTCATCTACCTGGCACAGGCAGTATTTTCTTACCTCATATCAGCACCTCAGGAGAGTGAGAAGACTTTAGATTCCCCCTTTAGCAACAGCCGAACCCACAGGGAATCCAATGGTACGAAGGGGCAAGGATTCTGTCCCCTAGTTTTAAGAACGGCAATGTAAAAATCCAAGATTTTTGTTAACAGTCTCCTTTCCAATGACTAGAAATTTATTAGAATTCTCTGCACTGAATCTATTTGACCTGGAAATGGCAGTAAGTGGGACATACATATACCCTTGGATACAGAAGACTGTGCCATTGTCAGGATAGAGGACAGCCCAGGGTTCTCAGATGCTCAGGATATCGTCCTTGCTTTGAAAGATCTCAAAAGGTCACCAAAGTTGAACACTTCTCTTACCCAGAAAGTACAGAATCAGTTTCCCCCTGACTTTCTCTCGATGTCTGCAATGCCCACAGGGGAACTTCCATTCACAGGTTCTTTTTATGAAAAAGAATAGGTGACATCTGTTAAATACTTCAAGTCATCATAAATAACAAGACCAAGTCCCTCTCTTTAGGAAAACAGAGCCCACTAAGCCACAAACACCCAAACACTGAGGGTCCTGTCAGTCACAGGAGAGAGCTTTGAGCTCCTCAACAGAACGAGAATGCAAAGGCAGGCTGCCTTTCTCCAAGGATAGGATAAGGTGTGGGGGAGAATACGGGCTCCTAGCACTCTGAAGCTGTTTGGCCTGAGCAAAGTCAATTAATGCCTTTTAGCATCAGTTTCTTCATGTACAAAATGAAAAATTAATTAGCTCAAGTTAGACTTCCATGGAGAGAGTTGTCTATGAAGGCGAGCAGACCTGGGTTTAAAATCAGCTCTATTTTCAATGATGAGGCCACAGGCAAATTCTATCCTGATCAGAACACTGAGTATAGGACCACTCATCTCATGAAAGGGAACAGTGTATAGACACTCCTCTCACACACCAACTGCTCAGTGAAGAATTGAGGTCAGTGTCACTCTCTGAGGAGGGACAGAAAAGAGTGACATTTGCTATACACCTAGTGTTTGCTCTGCACTGGGTTCAGAGGTTTTGCTTGTGGAGTCATTTTACACCTATGCACACATACACACAAGCTAAAGTAAATGTTAAAGGGTTTTTAATAAAATGAAAGTGATTCTCAAACATGTAAAATCAAATGTGGCAAAGATTTTATTTTACATATAATGGGAAGACTAGACAGAAATTACAAGTGAGGGGCTAGGAAGATACTCAGTGGACAATGTGCTTGCTTTGCAACCCTGAGGACTTGTTCCCCAACACCCATCTCAAAGCAACGTGTAGTATTAATCCCTATACGGGGGGGGGGGATGTGGAAACAGATAGATTCCCCAGGGGCTTATTGGACAACCAGCATAGTCAAATCAATGAGCCCCAGCCTCAGCGACAGGCCCTCTCTCAAAAAATAGGGTGGAAGGTGATAGACAAAGGTACTCAGTGTCAATCTCTGGTCTCCACATAAGTACTCTAAGCACTCATGGGCAAGTGTACCCACATACATACATCTCTCTCTCTCTCTCTCATTACAAATGAGTCCAAAAAATATAAAAAGCAATGAATTTATAAGTAGATGAAAATCTGATTGACATCTACTGTCATTTGCATCCCACTGAACAAAATGTTTTAATTTCCATGTTTTAGAATTACTTACATTACTATAATTTTTCTATAACTTACAGAACAGCAAAAGACAACAAAAAGTCCAGGTGCTTGTAGGATCACACCACCTGCAAGGGTCACAAATGACCTTTCTATCTTTGTTCATTTCCACTTTTAAAGAATATCTTTGACATATTTACTGTAATCTTCATTTGCAGTTGCAAAAACAGAGTCCATATATAAGCACGTGACCATCTTACAGGTACACATACACAAATGTCAGTTAGACTTGCCTGGGTTCAAACTCTCCCCAGGTCAGGATGCCCTGACTTGCAGGACTGGAATTCGCTTTGTCTTTCACATTGCAGGGATGAACAATCAATACATCCGCCGGGAAGTCTTCTGCTGTGAGACCTGTGATGAACTCAAAAGCTTCTGGGAAAAGGAAATTAGCAAGCAGACTTGTTACCGAGAACTGGAGGAGGATCGCCAGGAGAGAAGTGCCCTGAGAAAGTATGTGGCTTGCTTTTCTGTCCTTGTTTTTAAAGTAGGTTTCCTCAGAAATAGACTAGATGTGAAGAGGAGGACTCAGCTCTCTCATTTTCATCATTCTCCGTTGTAAGAAGGAGGATGCTGCACGTGGTACCATGGTCTGGAAGCCATGGGAGAAAACCAGAGCAAGCTATGGAGGGAAAGAAGGGCACTACACACACAAGACCCAGAGAGATATCTACACACGTTCCTCAGGCACACAGAAGGACCAGGTTTAAGTGAGAACACAGGATTTAGGAGGAAAGGGTAAGTCAGAATCTTTGGGGGATTCAATGGAAAAAGAAAGCAAGAAAAAGTAGAGTTTAAGCTTGGCTAGTTTGAATAATCCCAGGTGGCTTCTGTCTGCCTGGCTCCTGGTACTGGCTCCAGGAACCTTTCTGCAAGGGCACACAGTGGCTAGTGTGGAAATTGATATGGAAAAGGTTGAAACTACAGACTTGGGAGTAAATGGTTTGGAAAGCAACTGAGTCTTTTGCTGGGTCTAGGAAGAGTGCTTACCTAATGTGCACAAAGTCCTGGGCTAAATCCTAGTACCAAATAAACTAGGTGTGGTGGTATACACCTGTAACCCCAGCATTCTGTGGAAGTAGAAGGTTCAGAAGTTTAAGATTATCCACCTTGTACCCGACTATTTGAGACCCAGTCTTTGAAAGGCAGTGGAGGAGCTATTTCTGCTAAGGGGGGCAGTCTCTCCCTAGCCAGAAAAATTTTTAAGGTATCAAAACATAAAGTACAGAAAGTCAGAAGCAAGGTTAATAGAACCAGTCAATCCGTATTGCCACTGTTTTAACTGGGTTTTTTCAGGTACATCTATGTAGCCTGCTACTCACAGGGCTGTGAGCACTGTTGACATGTTAAGGCATGTGAAGTGGTTTCCTATCCTTTGTACAATGTTCAGCAGTATCCTGGCTGTCAGCAGAATTCCTCTCCCATTGTGATAAAGGTTTCTTGGGGCACAGAGTGGTTCCTACTGAGAACCAATAGATATGCATAAGACTTTCTTAAATACAAACAAAAATTAAGGTCTGGCCTGGTGAGATGGCCAGTAGGCACTTATTCAAGTCTGGTAACCCAAGTTTGATCTCTGGAACTCACATAAAGGTGAAAGGAGAGAATCGATTCCTCAAATTTGTTTCTCTCCGTCTCTGTCTCTGTCTCTGTCTCTGTCTCTGTCTCTCTCTCTCTCTCTCTCTCACACACACACACACACACACACACACACACAAACACTATAGCACATGCATAACCCCCCATAATAAATAAAGTTGTTCCCTAAAATCTCTTCTTCAAGAGCTGGTATAGTGATGCAAGCCTGCAATCCTAGCACTCGAGAAATGGAGGCAGGAGGATCAGAAGTTGAAGGTCATCCTTAGCTACTTAGTTTGAGACAAGCCTAGGCTATATGAGAGAGAACCTGTCTCAAAATAAATAAGTAAATATAAGCATAAAATACAATCCCTTACTCAACTCATCACAAGGCATATATTAGGCTTCCAGATGAGCTTGAGGGCTCTGTGTGAAAAACTAGCTAAGGAAGAGCCCACATCTGGGAAGACACACATTAAGAGTCCTTGGGGCAGGTGATGGGTAGTGCAGCCTTTCTCTCATTGGAAAATTATTTCATGTCAAGAGTCTACTGAAAAGGGATGTTTTATTTACGTGAGAGAACATGGGTAGCGTGAGTCTACCATAAGGCCACCTCCTGCCGACAGGTCAGTGCCTTGGAGCAGCAGGAACAATTCATTCCTCAGGGTCTGCCTGGATTCTTTGTCTCAAAAGTAGGAGCAGCCTCACCAAGACTTGCCTGTGGGGTGGTAGTTCATGTAGCCCAGGGTGCCCTCAAACTGGGTATGTACCTGAAATTGACTTTGAACACTTGATCCTTCTGCCTCCATCTCCCACAAGTGCTGGGCTTACAGACATGAGCCACCCCATGCAGTTTTCAACATCATTTTCTAAAAGTCGTCTAAGTCCCAAGCAGAAGCCTCCCTCCAAAGCCAGAGAGGAATTCTGTCACCATTCCAGCCACATTCCTAATAGTGTCATCAGAGGACTTGGAGTCCTTTCTAGTGTTTTAATTCTCCAGATGAAATAGTTTTAAAACAGACTCATCAAAAAAGTTAAGGACAATTCTATTGGAGTTTAAGAGAGAAAACAGCAGGGCAGGCAAGCTTGAGATCTCTGAGACTTCTGGCAAGAGATGGAAGAAGGAAGACGAAAAAGGGGAAATTATACCTTTAGAGTTCCTTTGCTTGAGGTCGGAAAAGCAGACTCAGTAACCCAAGTCTGCAAGCAGATACATGGGCTGGTAGGGTGGAGATGTTTCATTTCTGTTGCTATGATAAAATATCCTGACAAAAAGCAACTTAGAGGAGAAAGGGTTTATTTGGCTCACAGTTCTAGGCTGCATCCCTGTATTGTGGAGAAGTCAAGGCAGGAACTTCAGACAGCTGGTCACATCACATCCACAGCCAAGAACAGAGGACAATGAGTGCATGCAAGTTTGCTTGCCTACACTTGGTGCGATTCCTCCACTTTGCTGAGGGAATGGTACCACCCATAGTGGGCTGAGTCTTCTACATCAATTACCTTATTAAGACAATTCCCCACAGATATGCCAAAGGCCAACATGGTGTAGACAATCCATCACCAAGACTCTCTTTCTAGGTCATTCAAAGTTGTGTCAAGTTGACAGCTACTGCTGACCATCATGGGGAGGGGGTGGAGAGTAAAGTCTGGGCCTTCTAAGCATGTAGGCTTAGCAATGAGGGCCTGTAAGGAACTGCTTTGAAAGAGGGGCTTCTGAGACATCGAAGCATACCCCATTAAATCTCCTAACTTCTTATCATATCTTCCTGGGTGTCATGTTCCTTTTCACCCTCAGGATTCAGGCTGCTTCTTAAGGCTGTAAACAAGATTTACATCTCCAGAGCTCTCTCTGGTCTTATCTGAGCAAAGGAATTTCCTACTGTCTTATTTTTTAATGCATCCCTCCAACCCAGCTCCTGCAGTCTTTTTTAAAAAAATATTTTAGTTATTATTTTTATTTTATGTGTATGAGTGTATTACCTGCATGTATGTGAGTGCACCCATGTTGTGCAATGCCATGGAGGTCAGAAGAGGGCTTCGGATTCCCCTGGAACTAAAGTTAAGCATAGTTGGTAGCCACCATGTGGGTGCTGGGAACCGAACCCGGGTCCTCTGCAAGAGCAATCAGTGCTCTTAACCACTGAGCCATCTCTCCAGCCCCAGCTCCTGCAGTCTTAATCAAAAGTTATCATCAACCACTGAACAAGCCATTTATAAAGGGAATTACTGGCCATCGATCATGTTGTTTGTAACATAAGATATCACCCTATTGGTATTCCTGTCTCCAATATAGCAAGCCATCTGCAGTCTACAGCAAAAAAGCTCTTATCAACCACAGATCTTTCCTAGAGGAAGCGGGCATGGATACACATCTCTCTACCCGGTGCCTAGGAAGCAGCTTGCTGCAAGTGGTCCTGTCGATTGATTCTCTTTCTCCCTGTCTCATATCCCCTACCAGTACAAAACCAGGAGTTCCTCCGTGCTGCAGGGTGGCATATTAAGGTACCCAGAGAGGTGAGAAGAGTCAGTTGTAAGCTCCTGGCCTCTTCCCCTGGTCTTGACCCACTAGCCCATGGGAATCATGTCCCATCCCTGTACCTGTCTTCCTTTCCAGAAGCTCTGAGTGCTGAATTTAAAGCAAAACTTGTAATAGGCTCTGATGTCTCTAGGGCTACTAATATATATCAGCAGAAAATGCAAAACAAAGTCAAGACCCTTCTTAATTTGATAGACAATGAATGAGAAAGCTCAAGTTTGCTTTACACACACAAACACAAACACACACACACACACACACACACCTTTACCTGGTTGCGCAAAACAGTCCAGGACTTTTAAAATCAAAACTAGAATGGCAGAACACTTGTTTAAGCCCCTGCTAATCTGAACAGACAATTTGAAACAGTGTCCTAACAAAATAATAATCTCTGAGGATACATTTGATTGTCATAAGTCCCTTGGTCCCCCCTCCAGCCCTGGGGAATCTGCCTCCTGAACTCCACTATGCTTAAGTGCACACTTAAATACACAACAGAGACAGAGAGAGCTTTGTATTCTTCCTTTTATTTATAAAGGCAAATCCAAGTCAATTTGCAATCAAGACATGTTTTAAGTAAACAGTAAAACAAAGTTCTCAGAATTCTCCAACAAGCCCTTTATAGGATAAAACAAAATCAAGGTCATGTTCCTTTATCTCTGCTGGATGAGCTTGTAAATCTTGTGCCAGAGCTGGGTAGAAGGTGTTTAGCACGAGCATGTAGGTTCACTGACAGAGGAGACAGCCAGGGTTTTGTGAGATTTCACTTTTCCCTGGTAATTGAGGTATCTGGCAGGGGTCCTGGATGTATGTTCATGAGGTAGAGTAAGTATCCAACAACTGCAAACACTCCACTCCCTTTGTTTTTTATTTTACTTTTTACATTTATTATTGTGCGTATTGTGTGCACGTTAGAGGACAACACACAGGAGTTGGTTCTCTCCTTCCACCCTGTGGGTCCAGGGGGATCCAATCCAGGTCCTGTGGCTCCTCTTGTTTCCAAGCCCGTCAACACAGAATGATTGGATTGGCTCTCTGGAGAAGCTGGAAACTGCAAGATACCCACTGGGGGCAATCTGAGGAAAGTTGAGTGCAGTGAAGGCACAGTGTGTGCTCTTAACTCATGGTTTGCCAGGGAAAGGCCTTATCATCAGCTCTCCTTCTGGAATAACTTCTTTTATTTCATTTTCCTTTATTTCTAAAAGTATCTAAGCTTAGATGATAAGTCATGAGGAATATTTAAATCATAATTTAATAGTTCACAGCTATAACTGAGCAACCAAACAGTGACTCTGTGTAAAGAATACAATAAACACTCTTCAGAATATCTCTTCAG